TTCAGCTTGTTTGCACGTATGTATGTCCCTCTCCGGGCAGGTAACTTCGTGTCTTCCATGCAAACTGACACGCTGATTTTGCGGCACCGCTGGTCTATGAGAAGTGAGGAACTAAGAACATTTATCTACTGCCTTGGGCGGGGGGAACACCCCAAACTGTTGCTTCTCTCACTGTTCACACATTTACTGCCCCCGTGCATGAATTGCTTTGAAGGAACGGAATTCATCCACTACTTACCTAAAAGCTGGCACCAAAGCTTCAAATCCTTTTAAGATCCTCCATATGTAAATGGAAGAAAGTTTGATGCTTCCAGTAGGCCATCAGAATCACTACAGGCGACTATAATAACCACCTCAGGCTCAGGAAAGCAGCTGGGCCACAACAGTCATAGTATTAGCTTAACAACTTTACATCTCCTTCCTGGCCTTGCAAAACGCATRCAGGCTTTTGAAGCATTCCCTAAGAGTCCCCTCCCAAATGGGAAAATCAGATACACACACACATTTGCCAATTTTCCTACATTCTCTGTGCTGGCAAAGCTGCAGCCTTTTGTGTTGAATGGTTTTGCATTCGTGTTCAGAAAGGGCCCCGTGCAGACATCAAAGAAAAATATTCCGCTTCCGAGGCAAGCCTTGGGCCAACTTCAGAGAATACATCACTGCATAATGCTTAGCATTTGGTTCACAGAAATGCATAAAAAAAGGAAAAGCAACTGCAGGACGCCCACAAGACATTCCCTACATACTTCCATAATCAGGGACATTTCTGTTGAATTTCTGTTCACATAGCAAAAAAAAATCAGCATCCAAGAGTGGCCATGTTTGGTTTGTGTCTTTCTGCTCCTGTTCCCATCCTGTTCCACTGGATACCAGGTACATATGAATTTAAATAGAAGAGGTTGTCAGGGAGGTTCCACGGCACAGAACAGGGAGAAACCAGCACCACAAGTGCCATGTGGAGGCCAAGCAGAGACGCTGCTTGCACTGCTGAATATCTGTTACATTAGTTGTAGCCCCAGGCCCACTGGCGGACAACAAAACAGCCACATTTCCCAGAACCAGCCCATGTACCCCTTGAGGAGAGACTTTTGCCACCATTGGTTACAGAATACATATTTTTCCGAAATATATCCGAAAACCATAGAAATTTTTGTTTGTGAAGGACAAAAACAAAAGGACAAGCAACAACAACAAATATATATATATWTTTGACAATAGGAAGAAATTGAACAATGCTTTTTAAACTATAGTTGCCTRGCATGATTTTTTTTGGTCGCTTTTACAGTAAAGCCAGAAAGGATTAGGATACACTGTTCTAACTCACACTAGCAGCCAGTACCTGTTCAAAAGCTTTATTTTCTAAGCCAACTGGACAAAACGGCAGCACTTCATTGTACAGCAGGGAAAGGAGAAATAAAGACATTTAATGACTTAAAGTCACAAAGGAATCTGTTGCAGAGCTAAGCTGAGTTCTCAGCACCTCACTCCACTTAGGCATTGGAATAAGCAATGAAATAGGAGTATGCACTTAACTTGGCACGCATTTTTAAATGATGCATTGCTGCAAGGAAACAAAAACCTCCACTTACGCTAACCCAGACACCAAAGGAATATTTATTATATGTATTTTATATACATATGTATATAAACATTAAAAAGAAAACTAGTTGCTCACTCCACCCAATCTGTCTGATCACYTTCTGCTCCCTAAGTCAATAAGACCTTTCTTGGCCACACGACCCAACCCACCATTTGGATCTCATTACAAATCAGACATATTAAACCTCTTTCTCCCTCGGGCTACAGAAGATAAAAGGCCAAGTAAGCAGGCTACATTTTGGTACCTGGCTTTGTGCAACAGCTCTGGAGTTTGTTAAAAGCCTCTGCTTCGATTATTTTCTCTAAATAGCAACGGCTTCTTGAGGAACCTCCTACTTTAAACGTACCAGGTTTCCTTTAAGAAGGAAAAGCAAACAAATAAGCAAAAAAAATCAACAGTCCTGCTGAGGCACACTTGTCTAAGAGTTTGTGATACCAAGTCTTGGCAAAATACTGCAATGTCAGATTAAGCTAACACTGCTGCTGAAGGGCTAAGAGGAAACTCGRGAGACGAAGAGGAAATAAACTATGAATTTACACAGAACAAAATTGTGATTCAGCTCCAGCTAGTGCTTCAGCCAACCACATGAGCCAATGCTGCAATTTGTATGTATTCTAAGGAGCTAAAAGCCCATGGCATGCAAAGCAGCACAGCTCTCATGTAGTCTCTGCACAACTCGGGGCAAGAGGAATAGAGGAATTGATTTCATCAAGCTAAAACATCACCGCCCTGCTGTTACATAAAAGCCTGTTTTCTGGGGAAAGTTTCCAAAGATGGAGTCATATGGGTTGTTGTGATTAAAGTGACATAGTCAGGTTCAAGATGGGACACACTGCAGACTGAAAAACATTCCGGTTTGAAATAATGTCTCACTCCCTTTCCCAACCTCATGGTGCTGGTTTCTTTCTTCAGTTTGMTAGATTTTCATATGGAAAACAAGTAAAGCAATTGCACTGCCTGGTTCTCAGATGCTAATAAAATGCTGGGATGAAAGGGCTGCCGAAGGCCTCAGGGAGATGTTTAACTCCCAACTCAAACAGATAAAAAGATGGCCATTTAAGTTTGCTTGGGAAAGTTTCTACACATATTGGAAAYCCCTTGAGGCAGGGACTGCCCTTCTGAGCTCAGTTTAATAGCTGGTTGTACAAATTATGATTGCAGAATTATAAGGTTTACAATTATACAAAGAATGTATTTTAATAAGGTTGCTAATTCTGAGAAATAAAACCCCAATTTTCGGGGGGCTTAAGTTGCACGACCTGCTAATGCTCCAGCAGCCATTGCCATCCCAGCTCCATTATGCATTTATACCACAGGTCAGAAWGGGTTTTCAGAAAGACCAGGTATGAGCACCCTAACACTTTGTAATTACTCTTTCCACAATCCTATAGAAATGGCCTTATTTCTTGCTTCCATAGCTTCTCTCTTATGAGTATGTTTTAGCAGCTGGCAATCTTGGGCAGTTATCGTGCGCCTTGAAGGCTGCTGTGGGCAGCTCTGGAACTGCTCTGCTGCAAAACTGGCCACCTTGCACAGAGCACCAGGAGGCGCAGGAAGTGTCAAAGGTGAAACTACTGGGTGTTTGTAACCTTGTATTTTCTCTGGATGGGAATCAGCTACATCAGGAAAAAGCACCACACAAACTCCGATCCACAACAAGATCTCCTCCTGCATCCAGCAAAGCATCTTCTGTCCCTCAAAGCGAAATCCAGCTCGTGACAGCTCCCCCAATGCCCTGGATGAGCAGGGGAGTGACAGATACCAAACCCGARCACACAAGCAAGGTCCTGCAGTCACACAACCAGCCTGAGCAGTTGCAAGAGTTCACATCCAGACCTGGGCACAAAGTGCTGCCCTGTGCTGTTGACATTTACATTTCAAAACCTCTTTCTGGTGAGGAAATGTGTAACTTCTGGCTCTCTAGAAGCTCCCAGCTTTATGACACTTCAGGACAGCACTGCAACAAAGACTGCAATTTTGCAAGAAGAGGAACTCTCAAAGAGGCCCAGAATGACTGAGAAATGATTCTAATAGGAAGCCTCTCTCTACAGCGAAAAACAACTGTTGCAGTCTGTAATGAGCATTATTCGTATCAGAATACTTAAAATTCAGTTGTTTGACATGAAGAAAACATCACAGAGGTGTCAACCAACCTAGTTCATACATCACCCAAGAGCAGAAAGAAAGGGCAGCCTCCAAAGGACAAGGCAGGTCCTAAACACCCATCAGGAAGAACCCAAAAGAACTTCTACAACTGCTGAAATTTCAGCCTAGGGAGGATCAGTGCCCTGGGCACAAGGTGACACTTCCTAACCTCTTCCGTGCAAGCAGAAAGCAGGGAAGGACTATGCACTARTAGCTGAGCACCTTTATCCCTCGCAATCCCAACTTTTCCTTAAACACTGCTCCAAGGAGCTCAACTGGTTTGAGTTGCACCCTTCCCCCACCACTGCTCGCGGCTCATACTGTAATTTCCTCTCGTCTCAGCTAATAAATCTTGTGGCGTGTGTGTTTTTTTCTGAACACAAATTTTATGAGCTGAATAAACTTTATGGAATGGTTGATTGCCAAGGCAGCCRAGACCTGGAAACCTGATGCCTGACCACAGCCCAAGCACAGCAGGTTTGGATAACTGCTCTGAGGAAGTTTAGCAGCATTTCTGAACTTCAGAAGGATCTTATTAGCCTATTCCCTCCATAGCAGTGACTCCTGATTTAATGGTTCTCAAAGCTTCTCATTCAGTTTATCCTCAAGACCCTTTACCTGTGATCAACAGATGAGAACACAGGACAGAACCCTTTGCCTCTCAACAGCTCAGAGCACATCCCTGGCTTCTTCACCACAAAGTTTCTTGTTAGGATAATGGCAAAAGGACAACAGTTTGAGCAATAATTCAGTAATTTTTGGAAAGCTGTCCTACGTTTCAGTAGCAATTCCCAGAAACTTCCCTTAACTAGGGATTTTGAGGTAGTTGCTTGGCATGGTTCACTGTTTCACAGAGAAACATCTCCAGACACTTCTCCAATCCATGATCACACAACAACCCTTCRGCTACGCTAACAAGCACAGACATGAACAAGAAGCATTGAGAAGGTAATTCATGMAGTCCTTGCCACTAGGTACTGCTGTTCTGCTGTGAGTACTGGGATGAGACTGACCACCAGTAAAAGCACTTGCAATTTGGAAACCTCTCCCCTGCCGCTAGTTTCAAGGTCACTTAAAAGAAAAAGCAGCTCACAAGTAGATCCATTAGGCTAATGGGGTGTTTTCCAGGCAAGAACTGCAGTGCCAATTAGGCCGGGCATCTCCCCAGCAACTGAGCTGCGGCACAAGAGGCCTTTCCGCTCGCCGGGGAGGAGACGTCGCCCCGAGCACCTGCGGGGCGAGGTCGCGCACGTACCTTGGAAATGAGTTCATCGTGGTTGGCGAGGTGAGCCCTGCAATGAATGCAGCTGTAGGTCCTGTGGCACGAAGGCAGATATGCCTGGAAAGTCTTGGACCTTGTCATCTTCACCATTGGAGCCACCGAGCGCTGCGTGAACTCCGGGGTGGCCCAGGAGGCACTGCCACAGGATGGGTCGCACGGGAAACACCGGAAGACACAGGTAAAGGCCGTGGTTTGGCAGGTGATGGGTGTGGGGCAGGCTCCACACGCAGGTGACCGCTTCAGAGGAGGAGATTCTGATGGAGAGCACGGGGGCTTCACTCAAATCTGAGTTCGGAAAAAGAACAGACAGCAGCAGAGTCACGCCAGGCAAATGCACCCAAAACACACCAGACTAAACCCACCCACCACGGTCTCCCAGCCAACAGAATGATCTAGTATTTGAGCAAGAAAGCAGAAGAGAGCCAGAGTAGCTAGGAGACCAGAGCACTGCCTGATGACTGCATCAAGGAGGATTCATTCTTCCAACAGTTAACAGATTTGGAAAGAATTATAGAGGCATAAAGATGCAAAGAAAACAATTTTCATCTAACCYAGTCTTCCAGATGTCCCTGGGGGAGAGCACATGTTAAGATGCATTTCAGCAGCAACCCTCGGAGAAGCCCTGCTCTGTTACCAGACGAGAGCAGGGACGTGGAACCAGCACCRCCGCTGCCGTCCCGGGTGACTAACCCGACACCACGGAAGCCTGCGGAAACCTGGGCCCTGAACCTGGGCTTCCSCAGCGCTACGAACGTGCACTAGTCACCAAACCAGTTCTCTGCTTTCTGCCCTAGATTCCACATGGGAAGCACAGGATTACTCCATCATATTCTCCTTCACGCCCCGCTGAAAGCTCTGATGATAGAAGCTACCCTATAAATTGTACTCTAGTTTTCACTCGAGCATCTGGTGGCAGTCAAGGGCAGAGGCAGTCTCCAAAGGCTACTCTTGATACAACAAACTGGTAAAAACCCTATTTGGTACTCTTTTTATCCAACATACTTAGATGTTTATTTAGATCTAACATATTTAGCTCATATGTATCACAAATGCCTTAGCCCTCCCTCCTCCAAATCCAACACGGCCTGCAGTGTAAATTTTGGAGCAGACAAAGCACAAGAGCGGGTCTGGGAGCTCTGCAAGCTGCCAGGAGGCCCCACCTGGCATGAATCTGCTTACCTTCCAGGTTAGAATAGAGGCAGCCCAGGCCACCGTGCTGCCCTACTATTAAAATAGCTCCGAGGTTGCAGGCTAAGCTGGTTCTGCTCGGGCTCAGCAGGATGGGGCCAGTGCACATAGAGCTCAAGGTGTGCTGCAGAGAAAGGCTGCACTTGGGCTCTTCTAAGCAAATGCATCTTTCTTGCTTGCAAGAATAAAGTGGGCTGGAAATTGGAAGATCAATCAGAGAACTTAAGGGAGGACTCAAGAAAACTCTCGTAGGAGACAGCCCTGCAGAATTTATRCCCATATCCCATTTAGATTAGATGGCTGCTTCTGCCTAATGGCAGCATTGGACAGAAGCATCTCGCCACAAGTTTGGAACAGCTCAAGTCATACTGAAAAAAGGATGATAAAGATCAGACTGCTGTCTGACAGAAAGCTTAATGTGCAAACACTGTCAGACAGTGTGGGTATCAAAATGCCATTTACGGAAACCCATCTTTAACACCTCTGCTCCTAAGTCCTTTTGTAATTATATATTAAAAACAACAACAACAACAAAAAAAGATTCAAGGCATCTAAGTTACTTTATCACTTCTGAAAGCATCACCCATTGCACCTACTGCCAACTGGACACTAGAAGCATTTCAGTGAAGTTACTCCAAGCATTAAACCATAGAGCTGTTACAAGCTCACCAGGGGCCCACAGGAGTTAGACACCAGCAAGAAAACAGGAATCTGTCTTTCGGGTTTATTTTGTATCCCCCTTTTTCTCTGAAATACTTCTGCCCTCCAGAAGGCATCTCAAGAGAAAAGGAGAAAGGTTCTTACTCATCCTGCAACGTGCTGATAGAGCACATCTATCAGCATCACCACAGTCAGCACTTACAGAGCACTCTTCACCCTTAAAGCTCTCTGCACATACTACCTAATCAGATTAACCTTTTCCTATTAAAGTTACAGTGAGAATTGTGATAGACTCAGCCTCATGCAGATGGGTTAGAGACCAAGTCTGCTCCTGTTCTAGTCAAAACGAGTCTTYGGTGTGGCCTAGCTGGGACTGCATCTGGCCAAAGCAGCTGCGTGTGCACCGGTGCGTAGCCACTGCTCTGATTTCAGCATGTTCTGGCTTTTGACACTAATAAACAGTAAGAGAAATCAAACCCTCCTCACCTTTATTCTGCCTCAGCTCTTCAAATACACTAGGACATTGCCAACAGTGAGAGAATTTTGCACTAGACAGCACTGCTTTCCCCTCCAAGGTGAGGGGCACTTGGGGAAGTGAAACCTCAGGCTGCAGCAGGATAGAAAAAAAGACACAGAAATGAAGGAGAATCCTTCCTTACTTTCTGCTCATTTAACTAAAAGCAACACATTCCACTTTTCCTTTATAGTTACAGCCAGCCTTTATAGTTATAAGACAAAAGAACCATCCCCAAACTCCCAACCTCTGATTCAGTACGTGATACACTATATCTTATCTGTAAGGGATCGCAGAGGTTGGAATTTGTGAGCCATGTGCCCTGCCATCCAAGTGCTAGGAAGCAGGAGACTAAATGTGCTCTTACTTGGGCCAAATGCAATTGGATTCCAAGGCAAATCACCAAGTCCTGTCAGTAAGAAACTGATTACAGTGGACAGGCCAGCATGAAAGGACTGGCAATCACTTTACCCGATTTCTGTACGAGAAAACAGCCTCTGTCTGAACCCTGGGTTTCATTTAGCTGTAATGGAACGGTGCAATCCTCTCCCACACTTTTTTTCTGCAGCACAGGTAGGTAAATACATCAACAGTTTTACTATTTCCCTTCCACATGGTAATGCCAATGGATTTCTTTTCCAACCAGCTGCCTAACACAGCAACAACAGCCCAAGCACTGCAGCACTACAGGTGGAGGGGAAACAGTCCACAGACACCACCTGAGCCAAAACACAGACATAAATCGTGCCCAGGCTGAATAAATATTAAAGCAATTCTGTGTATATTCTTTGCTGTCCTCTCTGCCCTCCTCAGGCCTCCTGATCATCTATACTTTAGAAAAGCAGCGAGTTAATAAGGAAATACTACCACTGGATTTTCTTGAGAGAAATTCAAAATTGCTCTATAAAGCTTTCCAAAAGAACACTTCAGGATTATTCACCTATCTCTTCTCACAACACACCTGAGGTTGGCAAATCCATCTGTTTGCTCCGAAGAAGACAGAAACTTCAAGTGAGATGATATCTAAGCACAGATTAAGATAAATGGTAGTTTCTGTTCTCAGTTCTGTGCTGAAAAGGCCAAACAAATTGATCCCTTTACTTAGGGCAGGGGAAAGAATAAAGATCTGTGAGCTATAACTGTAGTGTGAAAGCTAGCAAGGATGCTAGGTGAAAACACCTTTAAAAGGTTTCAGACAGGCTCAAGAAACACTTTATAAACACATAACTTTCAACCCCATTCTTGACATACATCATTGACACACATTAACTGCCAAGAACTCTATTTTCATTGCAGTGCAGAAGAGGGAAAAACAGTGCAAATTGCATTCTTACAATGTAGAGGCTGTGCTCACAGGCTGCAATCACCCACTTCCCTCTTGGATATCATCTAAAAACATATAAAATAGGAGCCACCATCCTCAACAACAYGAAAAACCACCTTCTGTATTTTTCGCCTGTCCTACAGACGAGCACACCCAAATTGCAATGTGCRTGATGGTTATTGCTGCATTCACTCCATTACACAGCAAAAGCACAAGGATGATCCCATATGCTGCATCTTTGGCTTTTCAGGATCACTGTCAACTTCACTGCTGGTGGGGACATTTGCAAAGTCATTCTATTAACGATCTTGATCATGATCTTAATGATTCATCGTGGCACCCAGTACTCTTAAGGGAACTGCACTATCTGCTATCAGCAGCACAGTTCAGTATTTGTCTAATTCTTCCACCCCTGGGACAGACCCACTCAAGTCAATGGAATAAAAATTTGCATATATTAAATAATCCGCAAGAAGCCAGAAAACTGGTTTAGAGCAAAAGGAGGAAAGGATTCTAGGGAGAAGTTTTGGGACACCATTTCTCCTCGGTGAGAGAACTAGCGGGATGTACCACAAGCACAAACTGTGCATGGGTGCATCAGGGARACCTTGCCTAATTCTACTAAGTCGTAAGTAGCTGCTACCTCTCCATGAAGGATAAATCATGATAGATTTCTGGTCACGCGATGGCCTTTTGGTTCAGCAGTCACCTTCTACCTGCCCAACAGTTGATCTCCACGTACGATTGTTTAGAAATTCAGGAACACGGAGAAGGAGAAACACTTAATCCACGCCAAAATCTTGCTAGATGAGGCTACTGTTTGTATAAGTCCATACACCAAGTGGCGGAGAACGTAACAGCCATCAAACATAAGTGCTATTCTGCATAAAATTCATGTGCAGAGCAGCACAACAGCCAGCCTCTTCACTCTGAAAAGGCAAGAAGCAGATCCGTTGAGTTTGGATTTGCTGATTATTTGCTTGTTAAGATGAAAAACTTCAGTCAGTTAAATACTTACTGGAACACGACAAATGCTCTGTAAAGCTCCCTATAAAAGTTTCAAAGAAGTTCATCTATGCTGAAAGCTAACCTTCCTTCTTTGCTGTCTCTTCTCGTTAATATACGAAGTACTGCAGTGCTTATGTTCTAGCAGCATAGTGCTTAGGCTGACTGCAATTCAAGTAAAGGAAGAATCAGCTTTGAGTCTTCTCCACAAGGTCACAAACATTAGCATCCAGGGTTACCCTGGGCTGTTTGGGTGGTTTTAAAAAAAGCACTCGAGATTAGCACACTTACTTTTGGGAGGAGGCAAGGTAAAAATGAAACTAATTGCCTTCATGATTTTTAAGGCATTGCAGATTAAAAGATAAAGGATGATCTCTGGACAAGACACTGAAGCGGGAGCCTGAGCTGAACAGGGTTCTGCAGCTTTCCCTATGGAGTAACAGTGTCCAAATGTCAGAGTGCTGAGTCCTCGCAGGCACCAGAGACACTGGGCAAGAGCCAAGGAGCTTTCGTGCTCTGATGTAGCACTGCAATAAAAGAGCCTGGGCTCGAGGCAGCTTTGGAGAGTCTCACTACCCCACAGAACTGCAGTGGCTTTGGAAAGATGAAGCCACATCACCTGAAGGTATGAGGCAAGATGCAGCTACTGATAAGACCTGAAAGAAAAGATGGTGACTTTGAATTTGAGCAAGGGAAGCAAGGAAAAAACAATCAAGAGGTTTAAATAGTATATGGATGTAGACAATGTACCTTTACTCTGATAGTATTAAGTTTCTGAAACACATGTATTTTAAACGGGATAGCAAGACACTGTAATGCAGCTCAGCACCTCACTCAGCAGAGGTTATTCCCCATAAAGGAAGCACAAGTGTTCTTCCCAAAGGCCTGAGTTTCCAGCCCGTTCTCCAAGACCCTGCAAGCTCATGGAGATAGGAAAGCATCAGCAAGAGAAGACCTGGAATACGGCCAGCAGGAACTCACTGCATTTCTTTTTACTCTTAGTAGAGGAATGGACACAACTGCAATAGAAATAAAGCAACACAAAGAAGGTGCTCACTTGGATCACCTTCAAGTACAGATGTGCATAACCCCTTTATTCCTCTGCACATGTCTTGGCAAAGCACTTCATCTCCCCGAGCTCATGTGCACAACAGAGACACCACTTCTCATCTCTGGGAAGCATGTTAAGAATTTGGGAAAGACAAATCTGTGCAGACGGATGTCAGAATGCTGTACGGATGCCAAAAAAAGCCTGCAGACAATATTTGCAACCCTGCAACCACTAGAGGGCATCAATAAGGGATTCAGAAAGCAGCAATTAAGGACTGCAGGGCCGCAGTGATTCAGGGATGGGCACAACTCCAACCTTGCTGCACCTGCCACGCTCCACATACCGTAGCCAGCTTGTCAGAAAAAACCTCAGCTATTATTCTGCAGAGTAGCTATCAACATAATTGCAGTGACAGTTTTAATATTAATTATGTTTTGAAGTTTTTTTCTTTTCCCCCCCTGTACAGTCAATATGATAGTCTATGGTGTATTGTAAATCTTCCCATCAAAACAGACCCAGCACTCTTACAACATTCCTGGTCTGTGATGAAAAGGCTTTCTACAAAAATGCCAAGGAAAGCGCAAGAAATGAACCTATAATTTAAATAAATAAAAAGGTTAGGCTGGATTTTTTTCTAATGTCTGCATAGTTTTGCCAGCGCGTCCACTATTAAATCCACAACTTATTAAAAGTAATTTACAAAACTCTTATTTATGTGATAACTTATTTACATAGATACTTACCCTCTGTCAATTTGGAAAATAAATCAAATTAAGCAGTTCTACTTTTTTTTAAACAGGCAACTTCCACACCAGAAGATGTTCTCATTCACACATGGGACAACTGTGTCATTACAAGCAAGTCCAGAGGATGCCTGTACCTGAACTAAAAGCCTTTTTGTTATTGAAATGAGGCTCACAAGTGATTAGAAAGACAATAAACAGGTAAGCAACGRAGTGAAGACCCTGTGCAGATGCTTCTTGCTTGGCTGCAGAGACCAGGTGACCATGAGAACTGCCTGAACTTCATTTACATCTCTAAGGCTACACTGGGACCATTCAGGCCCAACAAACATCAGATTAACTCATCCCTTCCTTGCATTTCAGAACATGGCATACTCTTTAAAAACAATCCAATTTGATAAGCAACAGATAACATTCTGGAAAGCACAGGAGGAAAACAAGTCTGGAGATTATTACTAATTTATTTATATAAATTCTCCACCTTACAATTTCACTTCAAAACAAAGACTCGGGACAGCTAAAACAGACACCACCTTACAGAGCAGGCTTCAAAACTTGTTACCTTTTTTGGGCCTGAAACCACACGAACATGGGCTGCAAGATTCAGCCTCTATGAAAGGGCTGACTGACACCTCAGACTGAATTCTCTTCCCACTCTCCACGGAGTTGCCTGGCAGCGATATTTTTGCAACACAGACGAGTCTGTGCTGCTGATAACGAGTGGCACTGCAAGCATTATAGCTGCAAGCTGCTCACCTTTGTGTTGCAGGTACCTTCCACCACAGTGGAATTCAATAACCAGTTATGAGAGATGCCAGCGTGAGCTGCTGAACTGTGGGGAGACATAAACAAGCAGAACAGCAGTGTGGTTGGCCAGGGAAATAAATCTGAAACAAACCTGCATTTACTTTTTGCTTCTGCCCTCAAATCCCGTTTGTGCCACAAATAAGTAACTGCCAAGCTGAACTAACCTAAATCATAAATCACAAACAGCTCCATTTTCTTCCTTTAAATTAAAAAAAAAAAGACTCCCACCAACATCTCACATAATGGGATAACAGTCCTTACTATGAATCAGTTAAGTACATACAATGTGCAGAGGTAACAGTGATGGCTCCAACAYACACTAGGATGTAGCTTGTGAGCTGATAGCCATCTTTCTGCTAGAAGCAGCTACATGTTTACCCTGGGAGCAATTAGAGTCACTGTTCAAGGGCATTATTCTCTGCCACAATTATGCATTATATTGATATGGTGTGGATGCTACACAGCATTCCACAAAATGAAAAGATCCTGAAACAGCCCTATTCTAGCACCAACCTGAACTAAACACATTAAGAAAAAGCTCTTCTCATCCAACTRGTCAATTACTACCAAAACAGAAACACTGCTTTATCTTCCCAAACCCTCCACATTTGTTTTAACTCTTGAACAGTCCAGCTAACCAAATCATCTATTGCATTTGTGTTCCTCTATTAATATCTTCTCTTTCGTCAAATAAAGGTATGACTAGGATTCAATTAATTTGGGCTGCTGGATGGATCATCTGTTACCCTGATAAGGCTGCGTACTGACAGGGAACATGGTGAGAGCATCTATCCACCGTAAGCATCCTTCCAGCATCATCAAAGTCATTTCCAGCACAGAAAAGGAGCTGCCAGAGCTGCCTGGCATGACTTAGTACTTGCAAGTTCCCTCTGTTAATCTTGTAAATTGGAATATTCTGRAGTATATCTCTTCCCTAATCCTGCTCTGCACAGAAGCATATTTGTCATGGGAGAGAGAACAGCTTTATTTTCTACCTTGATATTTCCATCTCTTTCTGAAAAATGCTGGGGAAAAGATGCTGAATTCTGATCGATCTCTGTCAGATACATTTATGTAACAGTCACCATAACAGGACGCGCACTTCCACAGCAATCCAGACATCCCTCAAGCTTTCGCTTCCATCAAAGRTACAGGAACACGTACGTCGAAGGGGTAAAGTCAGGGGAAGATTTACAGTTTGAGTTTTCACATGACAGAGCTCCTATAACTGAACCTAGCTGGAGATGAAGTCAGCAGTCGCCGTGCCAGTTTCTGTCATTAGTTCCTCCTAGAGATCCCACCGGCCCACACGTTACTGCCAAGGTATGTGCACTGACTCACCTCTTGCAGCTCGGTGCCTACTGACGCATGCTACAGCTGGGAGTTCCTGGGATTCTCATTAGGATTCCCCCCCGCCATAGTTAATAATTAACTCCATCTTTTTGTGAGGCTGGACAATCTGTTTTTAATAACATATTGCCTGAGCCATCCTTCAGCAATATTTCAGCAGTGAAATTTAAATTTTTCAGAGTCCTGTGGCTGAGCTATGCACTGCCTAGGTCACATCAGACTACATTTTTCTCCTCATAATGGAGCCACTGCCAGTGTGAAACTGGAGAAGTGAGAGTGCAGCTTTAACACCTCTMTGCATTCCCTCTTAAAGGAGTTCTCTGAAGGGCAAATTCAAAGTATCTCTGGCTTTTGAAACCACTAACAGCCTCTGCTCCATTTAGGGAATTTAATTCTGTACAAATCACAAATACGGTAGAGACGCCAACAGCTGCATACTTCTGGAGTCACCAAAACATATCACATTTACACCTCTCCAATGGCTGTTAGAGCACATTAAAAATAAAAAATCTCCAGTAGGACACGCAAGCTCCTGTGACGAGGAGACCGGAAGCCACCTCTTATGGGCTGCATTCCCATAACTTCTAGTGACTCACACTGCCTGGCACTATCATCTGTTAAAGCAAGAGTGAAGTGGAGATAATAGCTATTTACTAAAAACAGGAGAGTGATTAGCTTTAATTAGCATTGTCAAACAACTCGAGATTGTCAGTTGTAAGACGTAGGAGAACTAAGCCTTATTAATTATGGTGCTTCCTGCAGCTTTAGGTGGCTCGGCCAGTCCACTGGTACTTCCGGACATGAAGCTGCTCCAAACTTCTGATATATCCTGCATCAGCAAGTGAAAAAACACTGAGTTTTTCAGGCAGATAAAGGCATTGAGCAGAGCACTGCAAAACCAGAATACAATAACAATCAGCTCATGGATTGTTCGCACAAGTATCTTGAGTCAWGCCCTGAGAAATAAGGAACAAAAAGGCAAAAAAAAAAGTATGCAGGATAACCCAGCACCCCTGAGTAGCCATACACCAGAAAATTTGTATTTTCTGCTCTATCAAGCAAATCAAGCTATCAAACATCTTCAATTGGCATCACACTACCAGCAGATATGCTTATTTTTACCAGCTAAAGACGTGTTCTAAAGAGCTGAGAAAGCCTTAGGAGTCAGAGCAGTCCATCTCTTCCATGGAATTGTCTTGGCTTCTGGAAAGAAAAGGAAACCTATCCTTAGTCTTTAAGTTACTGCGATCGAAACTAAAAGACAAGAGCTCAGAATTAACAGGAACAAAGATCCTGAAGGGCCAACCTGCAGGGCTTTGTCAAGGGGACAAAAAAAGGAAGCTGTATTTTTTGATATGGCTTCCAGGTGATAAATACATCGCTGCTACCAGATTCCATCTTGAGACTTGCCGGTCAGCTTCAAAGCAGCTAAGGGAGCTACTCTACTCTTTCTATGCATGATTCCACTTTGACCCTTCCTGAATCCCACTGCTCTAGTACTCCACAGCTGGCACCTACTACAGACCTTGTTAAGCTCAAGCAAATAGGGGCTTGCAGGGGCTTGTGAGGGAGASACAACAAACATCCAGCTTTACTGGCACTTCTTGAAGAGGCTTCCTCATGCATGATTGAAGGCAGGGCCATGACTTAATAACAAGAAATAAAGGGGGTTTAYTCCTCTGCAATCCTTGCAATACTTATGAAGTGCCACAATAGATCAAGGAGCTCCCACTTTCTAAACTGCTAGGCCAGAACCTACACCAGAGTGACCAGTTCCTTAATTAAATTCTCTCTCAGCAATAGTCTGACATCCATGAGTCAAGAAGCCTTTGAGGGAATGTGGATTTACAGGTAGGATGCCGTCCTCTTCAGTACAATCCTGACACAACTTCCCACGCCAAGCAGCAAAGAAAGAAAATCACCAATCCAAAAGCTATGGATGCAGAGGATACCACAGAGCTCCATGAATAATGGCATTTTACCAATACTACTCAGATCCTGGCATTGAGAAAGAAACACCTGCAAGAAAGGTTAAGTATATATATTTCGTGTACTTAGTAGCAGCTTTTGACATCTTCATCAAAAAAAAGAAATGTCTCTACCTTCCCTGGAGCATTCCCAGCTTTAGCTTCAACCTGTGAAGACTCAGTCTTAAATGGTCTTTCAGCAGGAGGCATGACCATGGGAAAGGAAGAAGTGTTCAATCTCTACTGAACGATTACAACTGCATGGCAAACCATTTAAAAGAAAACAGAGGCACGGATGCCAACATGATGAGGTCTTAAACCAAATAAATGGAGAGCCCTGCAAGAGTGAAGTGCCAGAAGATGGATGTCCTCTCCAGGCAGGATCCGCTCATGGATTATAAGCGCAGGGCTCTCAGCATCTGCTTGTTTACAAGCACCTAATTTAGTGAAGGCCTCTCTGTGGTACCCAGTTTGAGCTTTAAGTAACAGTAAACGCATTAGTGGAAAATCCTTATCTGCAGCATRTAGGAGGAAGAGGGCAGACTCGCTCCTGTAAATTTGAGTGAGGGGGATTCTACTTCTTGCATTATGAAGATCGCATTTTAAATCAGAACATCTAATAATCTTTTCACTGCAAAAATCAGTATTAAAATTCCAAGCTATAGACCTATAACTCGCTCCACAGCTACTTCTGTCATCTCAGAATCCACTGGCTTTTCTGGATCAATGCCAATAACTTCCATGGAAAACTCCACGATGAAGAATACACAGCATTTTGCAGTCTGTCCCTGCATCATCACGGCTCTCTAGAGAGCAGGAAGCTGCCATGCACCCAGGGAAGGGCAACAGCAATAAGAGACCAGCTGAGCTATCCCTATTCCGTGCAKCAGACCGGCTGCTATGCACCATATGCGGCAACTACCTGCCTTTAACACTGAATATCACCTGCAGAGGAGGATCCCTTCTTGACACACCGTTCCGAGTCGCCTTTTGCCCCACCAGGCACTGATGTCACCCGCCGAACACAGGGCTGCCTGTGGGAAGGGCCCGGCCTCCAGGGACTCAGGGCAGCCGTGTTAGTAAACAGCGAATAGTCCTGTCGCACGGCACCTCACGCTGACAACAGCTCGAGGGGGCCTGGCAGCGCCCTGCCCGTCCCTGGGGTCCCTCACCCTCATCCCTGCCTCGGGCACGGATCTCCGCTGCGGTGTGGGACACGCTGGGGGGTCTGTCCCCGTTAGGCTGCTGAGCACAGGGGTGAGTGAGGCCGGGCCTTCCTCCCTTCCGCCTCCTCCTCCTGCCCTCGCTACCTGGTGCGGCACCCGAGCCGCCCCATCCCCCACGGCGCAGCGCRCAGAGCCCCGCGCCCGCGGAAGGGRGAGCCCCAGGGGAACGGGGAGCCCCCCGGGCCGCCCCCCAACCCGCACCGCGGACCTGTTGCCCTGCCCGCCCGCCGCCCCGCACACAAAAGGCCGCCGCTCGCCCAGCGCGCCTCGCCGCTGGCCCGGGGAGCCCCGCTCGCCCCCGGGGCTCCCCTCAGGGGAAGCGGCTGCCGCGCAGCCCTTAGAGGCGCCCCCGCCTCATCCAAGCGCGGACGGGTGGGGGGAGGCGGACCTCGCGCTGTGGCGCAGGTCGCGGGAGCCGCCCGCCCGCCACCCCTCCGCGGCTCGGCAGCACCTCAGTGCCCCGCGGCCGCTGCCCTCGTCCCGGCCCCGCGGGACTCACTGTCCGCGGCGCGGCCGCCTCGAGCGCGTCCCCAGCGCAGCCGGAGCGCGGCCCACGACGCGCACCAGGCAGCCCCGCAGCGCCCTCCCCCTCTCCGCCGGCGCCCTGCCCCTTATAGCCCTGGCGGCGCTGACGGGCAGCCCTCGGCGCCAATCGCCCGCCGCTGGCACATAGCAACACGCCGGCGGTTGGTCGCCGCCGGCCGCAGCCCATTTCTACGGGGCCAATGGGGGTGCGCGGGGCCGCCCCCAGCGCGCGCACACACACACAGACACGCGCACGGCTTCCCTCCCTCCCCCCGTTCGCGCAGGCAACAGCTGGGGCGGCGGCAGCCAATAGGAGCGGCCGCGCGCCGCCGGCGTGGGGGGGACAACAAACAGATGCGCGTCCTCTTAAAGGGGCAGGCACCCCTCTAGCGCCGAATAAATAACATTTATATAAACGTGGGACAGGGGAGCAGCAGAACAGGGGCAAGGAGAGCTTCCCTTCCTACCTCAGGAATTTTGCACCAGAAGCAATTTGTACATGCTGCACTTGCTCCGTAATATGGCAAAGGTGCAGCAGGCAACAGCAATAAAAACATGTTCTCTGCTTTCCTATGCAAAAGTCATACTCGTCTACCCAGGATATATGTGCATGGAAGCACAAGATGAACATGTAACAGAATCCTATCGAACATCAACAGGACTCAAGGGAGGGCCTTGTTCTGGCGCTCTGCAAAACTGCAGCCTAGAGGCTTAAGGGCAAGATCTTAATAAGTGACCAAGGAACAGCCTCACTGTTTTTGATTAGCCAAAGTGATAAGCCTTAAAATGACCCAGTTTTTCAGCAGGTGCTAAGCTGCTCTGTGAAAACTCTGTTCTTTCTGCATTTCATCCTGCAGCTATAGTTCAAAGCACTCGGGTTCAAACAACACTTTCAAAAACACTGGGCTCTTACCAAGAATCTCAAGTGAAATCTTGGAGGGTAATAGGAAAGGGTAGTAGTAGCAGTTACTTTTTAATACAGTATTTTGCTTCTGTTTTTAAATGTCAAGGCAATTAGTCTGTGTTAACTAAACATAAAGTAATTCCTCCTACCTGCTTTGCACCGAGGTCGTTTTGGCTCTCCTGGAGTCAATGGCAGCAGCTGTTCAAACAGCAGAGCCCCATCCCGGCTCAGCAGAGCCAGGAGGGAGGGAAGCCGCSGTCCCCCTTACAGCATCCACCAGGATCGGTCCTTAGCTGCCTGCTGAACTTCACTTAGGATTAACCTAACTCCTTAAATATAGCATGGGATTGTAATTAGCACCAGCAGTCACTGTAACAAGAGACAGCACGTGTCATCTGGAGGGCTCCATCAGTGTCACCCTGCTGCTGGCATCAATTCTTTCAATGGTCACCTTGGCAGCCTTGCACCTAAGCTGTGATTCCCCACTGTATAAAACATTCTTAAAGTTATATTTAATACCTGTCCCACCAAAAGGGACAAAAACTATATATCATGCTCTGCCATGCTCCGTTCCTTACGTTAATTATACGGAGGCTAATTATATGGAGACTAATACATAGTAATAAAGATTTGTGTCACTTATATGAATTCTGTTACTCTTTTTATTCTACGTAGGCAGAAAAATAATCTCGAACCTTGAGACTGAAAGTAGCATCTCCTTCCACGCAAGCAAAATCCCTCTGGAATTACCACTGAAGAGAGATCTGCGTGCTAGCTGGCCAAGGTAGTTCATAAACATTTTTTCTCCAGGTGTTTAAACACAAACTGACATTTCCTCCTGCAAGATAGTGCTACTATTATGTACAACCTAATGTCCTATTAATGAACATTCAATACCATGGAGCACCAAGTTACCATTGCTCACATAGAAGCAACAACAATAAAATGAATTAACAAGACAGTTTCCTATGTCATTTGATCTTCGGGCTGTCTGTTAGGAGAGCAACCACGCTTGGAAGACTTGCTTTAAGCCCAGGAACAAGCGCTAATGCATCAGACTTAGACCATCTCACCAGGCTAAATGAAGCCTTATCTAACAGACGTAGACCAGACCAAGCTCCTGTGCAGGACGTGGTGAGAACATTTGCTTGAACTTTAAATCACCAACACTCCTCATAACAGGTAACCACAAGTATCCAGAGTTGAAACCATCAGCAAAGCAAATTTACACATCCTTAAAGAAATCCTCTGCATAACAGAGGCTTTTTCTTCCTGCTGAAGGTGACTGCACAGCAGAATTTTCGGTTTGCCGATAGAAAATGGACCTTATTTACACAGGAGCACTTCAAGATCGTTTTTGTATGTAGATGTACATATATTCTGTTATAAAGTTGCTTTAGAATGGCAATTAATTGGAATTACAGTGAAATCAATCTAGTGTTGCCATGGAACACTAGGGAACAGCACAACTTTACACTGTGGAAAAACAAACACTATATATTAAAAAAGCCCAACATTTCCTCTCTAGATTACTCACTAATCTGGCTCTTGAAGTGAAAGCTTTCTAGCACTATCAGCTTGGAAAAAAATAAAATATATTCAGTTCTAGCTACTTTCTTATTGAAACTTCAAGTTGCACCTTTCACATTTGATTCTGCATCACAAGACTCGAGTCGTAAATCCTGCAAGCACAATTTAGCAAGGATCATGAATACACTTCTACTGAACTAAGTGTTTGGAAACTGATTTTAAACACGGGTCTGAATTCTGTGTCTAACCTACATGACAGCTTCACTTTCAATTCAGCAGCTAAGCAGCATTTTTCACCTCGTTTGCAAACAAGGTGAATTGCTTTTTTAGAGCAATAACAATAAGGCACGGGTTTTTCTTCCTCCTCCTCTATAGCTTCAGTAAAACTTCAGTTGATACCGTCAGTGCCGGCCATCAGCTTTGGCTTCTGTAACTCAGACTATAAAAGCCTTTCCATTTGATAAGGAATGACTGCCGGGGGCTAATTTTTCCTATTCTACTATCTCTGCAATATTGAAAGGGAGGAACAAGCATTAAACCACTCATGCAGATACTGTCTTGACACCATAGTGCTGTGTTAAGAGTTTTGAGTGGTACTTAAAGAAATGCTTAAACATCTCAGCCACTCAGCGCTCCTGAGTTGTAACTGTAGCAGAGGTTAGTAGCCTTGGCATGAGGCTAATTGCTCCGATGCTGCTTTTGCTTCTTWATCTTTAAAATGGGGATACTTTTCCTAGACATTACAAAGCATAACCATCAAGTATTTCACACAGAGTAAAAGGTGCTTTTATATATAAAGTACTTTTTTTTTTTTTTCTTCTACCCTCACCACTGCTATTTTTGGACAGACAGAAAGATAACAACAACAAAACACAAAGAAACAAAAAACACAGAAAATGTTCCTAACACCTCTTCTTGCCTTCCAAAACTACTAAGATAACTGACTGCAAAGCTATAAAACACTGTCCACAGAGTGCCGAGCATCTCTGCCGCAACACTGCTCCATCTATCAGAACTCAGCACTGGATCAGCCATCAATGCACAGACCAGTTTACGGAGCCCCAGCACCAGGGCAAAACTCCTCTGTAACTGGAAAACCTCTGCTCCAAGCTCATCTCTGCATTGCAGCTCCTGGAGCGGCCGGGAAGCCTGGAGAGGCAGCCCGGAGCGGCCGGGCTCTGGCGGCCTCCTGCGGCACCTCGCAGGAGGACAGGGTTTGCTTTGCTGCTCTGAGTAGGGTTACACTTGACCTTAAAACCTAGAGCTTAGCGTAACCCAACAGAAATACAGCAGGCAAGCCGGAATTTTAATCTGCTAGGATTAAAGGAATTATTAACCTGCTTATCACGAGAAAAAGAACCTAAGGATCAGAGCGCCGTGGTTGCAAAAGACTGTTTGGTGAAGGGCAGTACAAAACTACAGAAACTCGTACAAATGCAGGATCTGCCACCACGAGCACACTCAAAACATAGCAAGCTTATCGGCCTCAGCGTAGGAGCAGGTATCTGCAGGTACTTGCTTTCAACAGGCCAAGGTTTTTTATATTCCATAATTCATTGATCATAGTTGTCTTGCCCAAGGCTTCTACACAAATGGGGAGAAAATTTACTAGGTAGAAGAGATAATCCAAATAGCATTTTTGAGACACATAAGGAAGGATTTCARACAATGTAATGGTCACAGTAAGGCTATTCTAAAAACTAAACCACTACGTATTTACTACTTCAAAAAGACAGAATATGATGAATCTTAAGTAAAAAAACCACACACGCTCTCGAGTCAGCTCCCACGGTGCAGTTTTACATACCCATTTTCAAAAGGTTTTCATTCCTCCACTCAATTTGGGTGCAAGATGCACACGCAGATGCGATACCCCCTGCTCTGTGAGCTGCTACATTCCGCTAATGAGCTGGATCATCGGGCAGAGCAGATGTCCAGAACCAAGCTACATAAGATGATTTTGTCAGGGTTCTCAAAACTCAGCCTATAATAGTATTTCATAAATGTTACAGTACTGACATAACTGGGCCACCAATCATTACATTGGGGGAAAAAATAACCAATACAAACACACAAAGAGACACAGCCCCAAAGCTGTTGCTTTTCTAAGCATGTATTACTGTGCTTAGGAATTAAGGATCACGATTTCTAAGAGTAATTAATCAGAAAGCAGCTCTGAAACAGACAGCAGGTTTTACGCTGCAGTGCYGAGCACAAGGCCCTGCTCTCACACTCAGGCCATCACTTCTGAGCACAGCTCTCCAGAGCACCGGCTTCCAGGGGCACTTTTACCATGCCCAGAACACCCACACAAACGCAGCAGTTTTTTGCCTCACTCCAGCTTGCAGTTTTCATCCCCACAAAACTGCAGGTCCCAGTTTACACCAAGGTGCTACAATCCTACCTCAGGGGACAGACCTTGCTTGGAAGCAACAGCAGAATTTTCTACCTAGCATCACATCAGGAGACCACTTCTGAAAGATTTTATCTTGTATTATTTCTTAACGCCTACAAATAGTATGGAAAAAGTCAAATGGGAATTGGTTTAAGAAGTTTTACCTAAAGTTAATTTACATGTGAAACAGGCAGGCTGAAGACCTCCCAGGCTTGATTTAGCTGCATGCCATTATAAATGCTACAGCTGTTATATGATGATGCTGATTGCCAAAAGTTTCTATAAACTTCAAAAGAAGCAGGCATTTCATATAGTCTGAACAACCTTGTTCATATAAAAAAACAAAAAAAAAATCTATGTTTACTATATAAATACACTACTAGAAATTTCAAATTACAGCTTTAGGCAAAGTCACAACGAACAAGTATTTAATTTTTGATTTTTTATGAGCAAAGATGTTTTAATGTGTCACATTTAAAGATCATCATTCTTTCTTTACAATAAAAGAAAACTCACTTCATTGATTTGAAGCTAGAAAGGTCCACAAGACTTTCTACAAATTAAAAGTGCCAGGAATACATGCATCAACCTTCAAACATAACGTACTTTGCAATATGATTGAGAACAGAGTATGTGTTAAACAATATTTATAGAATTTAAGTACCTGAAGAAAAAAATAAAACCCAAAACTCTCTCCTTGGAGAGACAAAGACCAACTCCAAACATCCTCCTGGACAGCTGTGCAAGATCAACAAATACTTTTCTGTACAAGTGGTTAAAAAAGGAAGAAAAAAAAAAATCACACAACTTCTTGCATATCAAAACAATGAGTTGATAGAACATTCTTACGTGTCTGTACAGTAATCTCAGCTTCATATTATTTTATTACAAACAGTTATTATGATCTAAGCCCTACGCAGTGGTGCTCAGGATTCATGGCCTCATCCATGCAACATTCTGTCTCAAGAGATCAAGTTTTAGATCTCATGCTAAAGTCCAGGGGGGATAATGTGAACAAATACAGCAGTTCTCCCAGCTCTGAATCCTTCCCTTCACATGTAAATTCACTTAGCTGAAATTTCAGCTATTAAGTAGCAGATTTATCAGAGAGACCAAATACAAACAGAGCAGTCAAAAGCTACATCACATGGAGAGGAAGACTAGTGACTAAAGAATGTGCTGAGTATCTTTGAAAGTAGAAGTTTCCACCCCTACTGCTATAAATAAGGAGGAATATTAAATGAAATGCTGAAATAAGTTTTATCAGGAGTATCTGTGCTTTGTGATTCCATACAGAATACAGCAAAATATTTTATTTATGCAGTAATAAGAAAAACTTAAAAGAAACCAACTTATTACCTGTCCCTTGAGAGTCCAGAAATCAACTTAGTTGATTCCAGTATAAAACTTAGGTTTTCCCATCTTAAACAACATTTTTATTTTCTTTTTACCTACTAAGCTGCATATGGAGCCTATTCCCAACTATTCTCTGACTATTAGAAAACAGRGAAGATTGTCACTAGACTGGTTATTAGCAGTTATCTGGCCAGAACATAACTGGTCTGCAGGGAAGAAAAAAAAGAAGCAAAAAAGCAGCTTAGTATGTAAGAAATAATTGCATCTTTTTTCCTATGAATAGTTAGGAAGTCGCATTTTCCTCCCTCCCATTCAATAAGCAACAAGCCTAATGAAATTAAGAGGAATACATGTTTAAAAGTATGTTAAATCATTTGCCTCCCTCACCATATGTTCACAACTATAAATACAGTAATTCATTCTACTTCTTCTACATAGAAGTGTCTTAAAATAAGTCAATGACATCACTGAACAATAGTTTTGTTCCAGCAATATCTGATAATTAAATGACTGAGCTTTATATAGGTTATTGTGTATAATTAGACTAAAATAATCATTTTTTTTTCCTGAAAAATCCCAACACTAACATGGCAGCACCACAAAACAATGGCATTGCAGGCTCAAATCTGTTTGATGCGTATGTAATACCCGTTCATAACAACAAAAGGGCATGTAAGCTTCCAAAAATACCTTCCTATAACCTCCATTCTGTCACATTCAGGCTTTCCTGACTTTTGCCAGCAAAATGATTTACGTGTCTGTGTATAGCAACTTCAAAAATATTGAATGGACTCCTGTGGAGAGAAAACAGCTTAAACTTTCACATATCCTAGATTGACTCCTGCTCCTCTGACAATTATACATATAAATCTGCTTTGGGTGAGTTACTTTGCTAAGAACTTTAAGTTTTTCCTGAATCTTCTGATCAAACTTAAGTCTTCTTGGTCCCTCAACCCAAAAACAACTTCCCATCCATTAAGCCAATGGATGTTGGAACAATAAAAGTGCAAAAGACTTATAAAAGACTTCTAAAACACAGGTTTTCGTAATGAAAAGATTTCAGAGTCTAGAGTGTGTAATCCTCCACCCCAAGAAGCTACTTGCTGCCTTGGTAGCACAGCTGCTCAGGCCAGAACCAGGGGCAAACCTGGGCTCTGGCAGAGGTGCCCAGACCCCACAGCAGAAGACTGCAGAGCCCAGCTAAAATGCTTAACCTAGACCTCGACCAATAAATCACAGTATTAGCATCACATCAGAAATGAGAGCAAACACAAGTACAACTCCAACAACATTCTTATCAGAAAGAATACAGTAAGTGTATACTGACCATGTGAGTTAGTTTGGATAAGAGTGACTATCTTTACCAACTACATTTGCAAGCTAAACTATCTGGGCAACCATATATTCTGCTTCTTATTTCTCCTGCATGTTCTTTTTCTTTTTGCCTTGCAGGTTACCTGAAAACTAAAAGCAACACGAGCAACACATACATACAGGCTACAAGTTCAGAAATTCTTTACCTCCTGCCCACTAGAATGTGATTGGAATATTTGTCACACCTTGACATGACACATGACAGAAAATAATGCTTACGATCTACAGGTAGCCTATCCAACAACTTTCTTCCTAGTCAGAACTATTAGTGAAGTGCACCCTTTTTATGTGAACTATTTACAAGTGTAAACTAGGCAGTTAATTTTAAAATAAATAGACTTTTTTTTTACATTATTAGCAACTTGACAAGGCAATAGACCATCCAATTATATCTTTCATCAAAATGATTTGCGTACATTGCTGAAAGTGTTTTTGATGAAGCAAATCCTTGGCTCACTTATTCTATTTTGCAAGATCTTTCCTGCTCTTTTCCTTTATGCTGGATAATTATGTAAAAACTCCTTAAGCTTTGTCGGATAGTCTGTCATCACTCCAGTGGCTCCCAGATCAAATGCCCTCTTGTATTCTTGCTCTTCATTCAGGACCCAAATATACACCTATAAGATTGAAGAGAACAGAAAGAAAGATAAAACTACAGGAAAACCTCACATTATAAATCAGATAAATTTTCACCTAAGATGCTTCATATGAGAATGATGGCACATATAAAATGATTACACTGTTATGCCAGAGACACACAGTCACAACTTGGCTCTTCACCCTTAGCTTTCTGTATATAAGAATTTAATTGCAAAACCATTAAAAAACCTTGTCATTACAACATCAAATAAGAACCCCCTACCCCAAACAACTTTAAAAGATMATTACTAAATGCAAGGGTAATGACYACTAAAGACATAAGAYTTTAAAGAAACATGATGCTCATAGAAAAGCAGGAGAAAACACCASCCCATCTYAAGGGCAGGTCTATTTGATTTGAGTTCTCCCTAACTACCAACCTGATTTCCTTTTAGYTTTGCAACACTGTACCTGAATGCCCCTGGCAGTGAGGTGGTCAAAAAGTGCCTTGCGCATTAGCAATCTGTGGAAGGAAGATAGATATTATTTGTCCCAACACTTAAAGTGTTCATAAAGTTTTCAATGTCTGTGGATGCTCTGTGAAAAATAAACAACTCCATGAAATGAGTGCCACACTCTGAATCTACTTACACGTTGATTAACTGTTGACAAAGTAAACTAATTCAGTGTTATTTTAAGTAATAAATAGTACTGTGCACTGCTGCTGCACCTCAGTATGTTTCACTGTATTAGAAAAATACACATGCATGTAGGAGCATCCAAAGAATATCTAAACATGTTGCAGAGACAAAAAACTAGAAGAAACTGAAAGAAACTGCAGTGTAACAAGTAGTTACAGCAATGAATAATTAGTTGCTTGGGCCAACTATCAACATACTAACCAAATATAAATAATAAATCACATGAAAATCTTACGCGTCAGCTAGCCAGATAATGAATTTCTGACTTCTTGTCATCTTATGTGGTTCTTTCAGCCTATTAAGGAAGAAAAAAACCCCACAGATTAAAATAGTCTCACGTGTTTCTACAAAAGTCAACGCTTAAGCTGGCATTAACATTCACTTGTATTTCTATCATTTAACTGCAACACCCACCAAAGGGTTAACTCACTTGAGGATGATTGAAGGCATTGGAATTTCCAAGAATTCTTCCTTGAAAGGAAAAAATGGCAGCAGACCAGTGTAAAACAGGCCAACAAGGAGGAGAACACGTTGCAAACAGAAGATGATGGGAATGTCAGCATTCTGTAGAAAGCAGTAGAAAAGGATTCTAACTTACCCGAGCAAACTGTTGAGTCTGCTGCAAATAAATTTACTCAGGAATACATCTTTAAAACAAAGCACTTGCACCTATGGAACAAGCTACCAATGAATTTAAATTAATCTTCTTAGCAACTTGTAATCCAARGAAAGGTTTTACATAATTCAAGGGAGCAATGCAATTTTAATGCCAAATTGTACAATTCCTTRGCATAAAAAGGTAAAGCTCTATACCAATAAGTGTGACAGCTAACAGGAACATCCATTATTTTAATAAAAATACACAAGAAGTAATCTGTATCAAAACTGCTTTTGCACCAGATGAATGTGTGATGTGCAAAAGAGGCTTTGTGTTTTTATGCCAGAAATTGCTGAGGCCCTATATATTACAGTAACATAAAACAAAATTTCTCTTTAAATACTTTGTTGCAGAGTACATGAGCGTTAATGATGCCCGATTTTCCTTATTGATGTAATAAGCCAAATACAATTGAGGTACAGAGCTTCAAATCACAGCTAAAAATCTAGCAGAGCTAACTATGCTCACTGGCACACCCTATCTTGAGTTATGGGTTACTTCTCTGTACGTGACACCACACAGTGAAACAGAGGTCAAGAAAAACAACACTTGGAGCCATTCTTACCTCCTTATGACACTTTGATACAACCTCGTAATTGGCATTCCCCCAAACAGTCAGATGTTCTCGCTTATACTGACTCACCAGCTCTGAAACCTGCAATAAAAAAAGCAAAAATGTGGAACTCTTAAAAAATGCATTCACTGAGTATTATTCTGTGCAAATTTAACCCAAACTCCATTTGTTACTTTTCAACTATGCAAGTCATTACAAAAAAGATGAGGTAGGAGAGAATAGAAGATGATTGCATTACTTTGAATGGAAGGAAACAGGTGTTTGGTACAAGAGAAAAGGAAATTATATTATACCTACAAGAAAAACTAGAGATTTTTAAAAAGGAAAAATAGCAACACAGTATCTGATGGAAAGCAGATTTCATCCTCTGTGGTAAGCTGTTATCTTTATACTGGTATTATCCATTCATGAGCCATCAGTAAGCAACAGACTACATATGAAATCTTCATATTAAATACAAAACAAAGATGTGGTAAATCTATCTTTGCACACACATCTTAGCAATGTGGCATCCTTCATCTGTTTCACATAGAGASAGTGAATCAATAAAGAGCTATTTGCAGAGCAGCCTGCAATAGCTCTGTGTTCTGCATGACCTTACCCACGGAGCAACATCTAACAGGTGGAGGACCAAAAGGTCCAAGGACACATGTTTCAGTGTCCYAGACTGCCAGCAACTCAGGGATGCCCTTACTCTGGGAATTTGAACACCTCTGCATGACATTCAGTCTCAGTTCAGTGTAGTTTATCACCTACCTTTTTGATCAACACATTGTTGTTCATTTTGATGTCAATGTTGACAGGAGTTTGKGGGAAAGCCTCAAACACCTCCTTCAGGAGTGGAATGCGGTTATCTTTACCCTCGCAGTGGCATTCTGAGGAAACAAAGCCATCGCTGGCGTGACCATTACTAATATACTGTAGAGAAAAGCTAAAATATTAGAGCACTTTCTATTTTATACATATAGAGAGAGCTATATTAGCAAATTTTTGAAGTGGAAAGAATTTGCTACTCTTGTATGGTTACAATCAATTGTGACAAGCTCACCCCAGTAATGAAAACTGATGCAACTTGGTCATTATTTAGCAGCAATAGGCATCAATAATATCCTGAACTAGCAAACAGGGCCTTGCTTACTACATAGAAAACAGTGAGAATAATACAAAATGAGGCCAACTGATAAAACAAACTTTTCCTTCTAGGAAAATATACTGGAAAAAACTAATGAGCAAGGGCAACAAAAAACAGACACGTCAAGTTTTAGTGTTTAGTGTCAAGAAGCAGGTAAACAAAGTAACTTAAATATTTACTTGGAAAAAAAGATGGTTTACATTTAAATTATTCACCATTTACTGATATGAAAAAAATCCTAGCCTTAGAAACCATAACTTTTTTTTCCTTTTTAAAACTTCTCTTATCAAGATACTGATAAAAGTCCTCCCTTTTCTGTTCCCTTTAATGAAGTAAGAAACTGCCACACTACAATTATGGAAAAGTAGCTACTGTAGACTGAACAAGAAGTCAATAACTTACCTTTCTGAAATGTGACATCCAGTTTGCCGAGATATGGAGGAAGTTCCTTAAAAATAACGGGAAAAGTAACACTAATTCAAAAAGCAGTGACTAATTACAAGTTTCCTCAAAACAAAGAATTCATAAGCCATATAAGTTATAATTTAACGACACAAATGATGTTTTGTATATATTTTTAGGGTTCTTGCCTAAGAAATGATTTTGTCAACACTCTGTTCCCTTTTACTTAAACAGTTTTGCATTCTTATTCAGCTGGAGGTAACACAGGTCCCAAAAAAGGAATGTTTTCAGATGCCTGTCTGAAAAACATGGATAAGTCTACTAAAATATCAAGAGGAAAGACAGTTCTGCAAAGTAGCCTTTTAAAGCAGTCCCCGGAGGAGGGAATTAATCTACCAGTTTTACTCATTAAAAAGAACAAGCTGGTTGACTCAATCTGTCATCAGTCTGGCAAAACAGGCACACCTCCAGAAGGCCATTCATCCAAGTTGCTCTGGGACAGAGTTAATCACCCTCTGGAAGCATGCCCACTTTTCTCCCTTGAATACACAGGGAGCCTAGACAATTTTGTCAAACAAGATAAATATTCCTCTTGGATTTTGGATCCCCAGCCATTCTACAAACACATTTTTACCCATTACCTAGTGATGTTTTTTCTTCAACTTACAGAGTATTTGAGGTCTGATATATTGACATCGACTCCTGTTGATCTCTTGAGGTTCTCATCGTGGGACACAACCACTTGCTCATCTTTTGTCAGGTGACAATCTAGCTCCAACATATCCGTTCCTATATTAACCGCACTGGAAGCAAAGAAGTCTGCCTTGAACCAAACATACCTGTTGCACAGTTCCATACCTAACGCACACACACACGTTATTTAAACAAACTAATCCCAAGGAAGGCACTTTAGATGGCTTATGATGCAATGGATCCTCACAAYCCTGTTTTAAAACAGGAAATAAATAAGCTCGATTGCAGTGAAAAGCTGATGCAAGACTAAACAAGATACTATGAATCAGAGACGGGATTTTAACTCTGGAGCTTTGGCTCTGCCTTAGACAGAAATCAAGTTGTGCTTCCGCCTGTGCAGTCTACTCTCTTGCTRTTGAGAAACTCCTAAAGTATCATTTCAGAATTATTGGAGCATGATGCTTACTAGTATCAGCACATTTATCGTGAGAAGAAACAAGCTCTTCAAAGAGCTAATCAATTCTGGAGTAGGCATAAACAAGAAAGTGACAGGGATGTGAAAGACTTTTTTGAAATGCAACTTAAATTAGCAGGTTTAGGAAACTAGCAATGGGGCAACCAGCCTTTTGGCTTTCTTTTTGGGGGGGGGGGGGGGGAAGGGGGAGCTAATTATAATAAAAAAAGATTGTAACTTTAAAATGTGCAATCATATTTTTTAAAAGCAAAGCAATTCATCAGAATTARTTATAAACATTCCAATTCACTGCTTTGAAAAGTTCCAGTCCAGCACCAAATGCACTGTATAAAACAGGCTTACCTAAAAGTAGGGGTGAAGAAAGGAAATGAGAAAGCAGAGATAACACTGCTGAAAAAGAAGTGCTAGAAACGCTGCCCCCACCCTCCAAGAAAAAAACCATTCTTCCAACAGCCATGCAGTCCCTACCTCAAGCTTGGGCGCCCTCCATTATAACATCCTTTCTGCCCACCTAAGAAAGAATCTTTGATGTCTGCCAGTGCAATCTATACCTTAACTAAACTCAGCAAATTCACCTTGCCAAAATTTGACATTTTGCCAAGCTGTTTCCAGCAGCTGCTGCTAAGTAGCTTCTGTAAAGATACAAAATCAATACTGACATTATAGAAAATTAAGAAAACATGAAAAAAGTGAGGAGAAAAAAGGTACTATAAGGAAAATGTGCTAGCAGAGCTGAAAAACAGCAGGCTAGTAGGAGCAGAGCACAGAAAGCTCTGCTGGGCTTCCATGGAGATAGAGACCAGCACAGCACTCTCAATAGCCCTGGTTGCAGAAGTTGGCACCGCACTCGGCAAGGAAACGCACAGGCTGCTGAGGCTACAGAGCACAAAAAAATAAGTTTAAAAACAGGCTGCCCACACAGCTTGGCCATCGCTTTTTGGGAACTGGAGTTTTTAATATCCTCCTTTCTGGAATACCTCTGAGAACATTGTTATAATTCACTGCTTCTTAAAGGATGGAGGTTTTCAAAGGCTTTCTAACTCAATTTTAAACCCTCAGGTTGAAGGCTTTCACACACAGTGCCAGTGAAATATATGTGGGAGGGGAAAAAAAAGCACAGCAGAAGCACTTTTATTACCTTTGTAAATGGTGTATTAGAAATCTGTGAACATTAATTTGTCTTATAAGAATATTGTGACTGAAATCTTATCTCCTTCCATATAAATGAGGGAACTGAACACTAGGACACTCTGGAACATCTGAGAGAATCACTAAGGGCCATGACAGCAATCAGCAAATTCAGACCTCCTGAAATCCAGCACTGTATGTTAATTACTATATTGATATAAACTACAATTTGGTAATATGAATGTATCCAGAAATGTAGCACAGAACATTATTTCTATATAGCTGTTTTTATAATTAGTGATAAACTAATGGATTTTGTTTCAACTTTTCATTTCTCTTTTGAAGCAAACTGAATTGAGAGAAAAAGACAAGAAAACATGAAAGAAACTGAAGCCTAAAGTAAGAAATTCAATTAAAAAAGGTCTTTTCTAATTTGCTGCTTTTAATTTCAAAACCCAAGGGCAAAGGAAGGGATTTGATATTTACTTTTTCAGCTTCTTTCAATTACCAAGTAATTACTAGGTAAGTTGACATGAGAATCATCCTGCTCCATTACACTCTTCCCTCAGCTGCAGGATCCTCCTGTCCCCCTCAGCGCAGCCTCCAAAACTTGCTCAATGTGGTGATCCACCCCACGGCACCAAGTGACTAACGAGMAGGCCATGATTCACTCCCCAGAATCAAAAGGGTCAAGGGTCAGGCCCCACGGTTAAGGTGATCTTCCCTGACCCAAGGGGAAAAGGAATCTGCATTAAATATCGAAGCCATATGGTTACATGTTTTATTACCTAAAGCGGGAGGAAAAAGGGCTTGGGAGATTTATTTCTAAATGTAGGTTTACTACATTACTGTGCACAASCCAAAGCTTGTGATACCCCAGCTTCTTCATTTTTAAGTCATAGTAATATTCAGCAATACTCAGTAACATTCAGTAATCTGTAGAAGCTACTCAAAGGAAACAAGATGTTCATAAACAATATTTGTAGCCTAAAACCAACTGTTGGAAGCTCCATCTTTTTGTAATTGCTCCAGTCATTAAACATAATAAGAATACCTTTCTAGACACTATTGGTTCCATTGGTACTCACTGGTGAAAGGCTGTCATGGTGTTTTCCAGGTTCTCTCCAGCACCTGTAAGAAAAACAAAAACTAAAACATGTATAAAATCCTTATCTTCCCCTCAATCCCAGTGCAAATACATTAAAATTAACGGATTAAAAGTGTACATGTTTGGGAGAAGTATAGGGACAAATGAGAGTGAGGTTAAAGTCATAACTCGTAGAGTTGCAGCTAACCCACCGGGGAAACTCAAGCTATGTGACTTTCTCGAGGTAATCTTATCTAAACAAAACACAGCTTATCTTGGGTTTCTGTCACACTTTGAATATACAAATCGGAGATCAGGTGCCATGGTGTTGCTTAAAGGCTTTTCTTTGTCTATGACAATATTCTCCATGAGAACAATATATGCAAGAGATCTATTTCAGATGTAGCGAGAGGAATAATGAGAGAAAAGATGACAAGGAGGGAAAAAAGAAAAATGACTCTCCGAAGCTCTATTCCCTAAACGCATAACCCAGTTGATGCTCAAAGAGGTGAAGACCTCTTTTTTCAGTGCAAAGACACTTCCTGAAACAGCCTAAGTCAGACAATAAAGGCTTTTCTGCCGACAAAGATAGACCTCATATACATGGAGAGAAACAGACATTAATTCCACAAAGAAGGACAAATGAGTTTAATTTTCTCACGGACAGCAAAGGCGAAACCGGCACCTCTTGGGCCACTCTCTACGTATGAATCTTTGAAAACACAACCYGGTTAGGGGGCTAGACAAGAATGTACTCCCTCCCTCCAAAATATGCAACATTAGGCACCAAAAATAAAACAGCTTCAGTAAGACACGTGCACCGAAAACATCTATGCAAGTTTTAGCTGCTCCATAACAGTGACGAATGACAGACCTTGTAAACAACATAATTATAGAACCTCTAATAAGACCTTGCCTATTAACAAACCCTACCAATACATGTTTATCTAAGCCTGCAATTTAAGCAGTGCAACTTCATGCATGCACAACAAATAGATTTATTGTTATCAGGTTAGACTGCTAAGTGTACACAGAAACGCTTAATTAACTTGGAATCAAGTGTGGAATCAAGTGACAAAAGCTGCACAATTTAACATATATCCACACGGTTAACCTGCAGTAACTTCTGTGATCAGTCACCAATACTCCAGGGAACTTGACAGCAGAATTAGCAGTTTTTAGAGGCTGAGTGACAAACACGACCTAGGTCTAGAGAAAAGCCTGAGAACCTCTGTGGGCTACCAGCGATTACCCAACAGAGCGGGAGAAAGTGCATGGGACCTGGGTGCCGAGTCAGATTAGATAGCTAAAGCTTCCATTTTTATTGCACTTAATTTATCAACTGTGGCAATACAGTCTATAGAACCTCAACTATAACAGAGGGAAAACAGAGTCAATCTTTAATTTGCAAACAACACAATATCCTAACACTTCTGGGCAGAAATTTCAGAAAATAAAGCATTAAATGACTAGTGTAGCAAGCTACATGCCATGGAGGTAGGTATGCAGAGTCAAACCATTCAGTAGCAAAAAGGCCTGACTTCTGCATTTGGGAAATGGAGGCAAAAAGGAAATAAAAGAAAATAGAGATGAGCTGAAACAGGAATTCTAGATCAGCAACATAGTTTTCACAAACCCTATTCAGAAAAGGGAACTACAACAAGCAAGTTAAGGCATATACTGAAATATTTTCTTTCCTAAGAGCAAAGGGCTAGTTTTGCTGAAGGTCTTTTGACATTGTATTTACTCAGATGCATCTCCCAAAACCACATAATACCTCTCGGCTTTGTGAACTATGTACTTTTCTGAAGTCCTTAAGACAAAAATGACCTTGCTCAGCATGTGTTAGACCCCTGGAAGCCAAAGAAGCCAAAACTAAGCATCAAAGTTGCATATTGTAATTTTGAAAGAACTACCATAGACCAAAAGGGAGTCAAACACATCAAATCAAGGAAAAGGCCCAAAGACTTAGGAATTTTTTCCCCATATGAGCAAAGGCTGCCAGCAGCATCCCGCCCGCTACGTTAGGAAGAGCATTGCCAGCGGGTCACGGGAGGCAACTCAGCGCTAGCGACACAGTATCTGGAGCGTTGGGTCCCGCTCTGGGTTCCCCAGACAGGAGAGTCGTGGGCGTAAAGGAGCAAGTCCAGCGGAGGCCGCGATGATTAAGGGATTAGAGTATCCGACATAGAAAAAACTGAGCTGGGATTATTTATTCTGAAGGGAAGGCTCTACCTTTTCAAAGTGTAGAAATACCTGATGAGAGGGGCAAAGGCGACAAAAACAGACTCTTCTCACTGGCACCTAGTGAAAGGGCATGAAACAACAGGCAAAATAKGAATAAAATTTGGGTAAGGCATTTTTAAAAAAATACCGTGCGAGTGATGAATGAGACTCTCTCTCAAGACTCTGCAATCCAGCACATACAGTTGGCACAGATAGAAGATTCTAGTGGAGAATAATTATTGATCTGAGAAGTGACAAATTTTTAGTCTTAAAACAACGCAGAAGTGAAACACTAATTCAGAATTGCTTCCACATAAGACCTGTAAGCCRAGAGAAGGAAATTCTTGCATTAGAAACAAAGTAAACCCCAAATCCACAGACTTAGGAGACTTCACATGCCAGGCTTCGTCTTGGAGAAGAAAAGGCCAGACAAGCGTCACCTTGATCTCTGAAGGCAATAGGAGTAACACAACTGGAAACCTGACACTGCATGGAAAGCTAAAGCCTGTGAACTTGAGTCCCACAGGAATTACAGTTACAAAGTAAACACCACAGGGAGTAAAAAGCGAGTGATCTTCAATCTCACAGCACCTGATGAGCAAAAGGCTACTGAGATGTTATTTAAGGGGTGTATCCTCTTCACAGCATATAAACAAAGACCAATTCAAGGACTGTGGACTTTGTCTCTCAATGCCTAAGGAATAATCATCCCATTCAGCACAGCTTTTTTAATTTTATTTAAGTAGTACTTAGTGTAAATAGCCCAAAAGCTCCCACTCTAGGCTTGGGGTTAGTTATCTTAACTAATGCCTGCACACATACACACACAAAAAATAAATAAGTAAAATAAACAAACAAAAAAACCTAGCCAAAGGTTAAAGAGTTCATATCAAATTCTAACAAAATCATTGGTATGTTTGCAAAAGTCTGCAAATTAAAATAATTAATATTGACCAGGAAACTGCTATTATAYACATTCCCAATCAAAAGGTGCATTTTGTACTAGCGGCTATGCATTATAAAGAAACATAATTGTTTTATAAATTATCAACAATGCTAAACACATGTGGATCCAGCATATCTTCAGCCTTTTGGGCAAGATATTTACTGGAAGAATGACTAACAATAATCTCCTCAATTGAACAGGGCAGCATTGCATGGAAYGAGATTGCATGGAAGAGTTGGCCTTCATCAGCACAGAATAGGAAATACAGGCTTTGCCATCTTTCTGTGATGATGAGAAAGAATCATCCTACCCATAAGGCGTTGAAGCCAGTAAATGGAGGGGATGAGATCCAAGCAACTGGCATCAGATTTATCTTGGTACTGAGCCATTGTTTTCTATAATAAGAGGATAAAGAACAAAATTACAGCAAACTTTACATTCTTCTGAATCTAAAAAGCAAAAAAAAAAAGCAAAGAATTAAGAAATATTAGACATCTTGTACGTTGCTTCTGAGAAGTCTGCCTAGTTTAGTGCCTTCCTTGCAAGCAGAACCAAAGACCAGGTGCTTATTTACAGCTCGTCCCACATCACTCCATGCCTTATCTTTTGCTATGGAACTTTTTAACCTGAGCCGGCCTCCTGCTGAGCTCCAGACCACAGATTTTCCATATCTTTTTAGTCCACAGTCAAACGCGGTAGGAACCTCACACTTGAGGGGAGCACAGGGTCAGGTCTGGCCCTCCCCACACAACATCATCCAGGTGCAGAGACACGTTGAGGAGCATCCTGAGAGGGTGGCCCGTGTTCCCCTCACAGCTCTCGCTTTTCTGCTGCCTGCAAAGCGAAGGGCAGGACCAGAGCAGACGGTGACCAAGCACCTCGAGCACACGGTGAATCAGTTGGAGGCAAGGAGGTCGATCTTTGGACCTGCTCCGAACAAGAGTCAGCCTTTTCTCTTATTGGGAAGAAAGGGCTAATTACCTACATAATCATTAGGAAGAACTATACGGAATTATCTGCTTGGAAGCCATCAAGATGTGAATCCCTGGGAGAAGCGGCTGATTTCAGCAGAGTCCGGCGACTTACTGAGCTTTGAAATCAAGCACCGGTCAGCAGGTGGCACCTAAAATTAGGCTACCGAAGGGAGGCTCCGAAGGAGCCGCTGCGGGCATCACAGCGGCGGCTCCAGAACCTCCTAAAATAGCCCTGGCAGCAGCGCCGGGACGGCCGAGCCGAGCCCGGGCGGGCGCCGCGCGCCTCTCCGGCCGCCGCGGCCTCCCCGCCCGCCCGCGGCCCCTCACTCACCGCCGCGGTGCGAGATGTGGCGGCAGCGGAAGCGCTGCCGCTTGGGCCGGTGGAGCAGCCCCGGGCACTTGAGGAGCAGCGCCGAGGTGAGCACGTAGCCGCCCAGCGTGGAGAGCACGTACAGCGTGGCCGACATCCTGCGCCGCGGCTGCTCCCGGCCCCGCAGCCAGCTCGCTCTGAGGCGGCAGCGCTGCGGGAGCCGCTCGCACTGCGGGCCGCGCAGCCGCAGCCGGGCTCCCCCCTCCGCCCCCGGGCCGGGGGAGGCGGCGCAGTGCGCAGGCGCGGGGCGGGACGCGAGTAGGGGCGCAGCCGTTAGACCCCCCTCAGAGGAGCCGTTAAGGCCGTTAATCCCCCATTACCTCAGCGAAGCCATTAGGACCATTAGTGCCCTCTTCCCTGCGCGGAGCCGTTGGGGTCGTTAGTGCCCCCTCCCCTCGGCGCAGCCTTTGGGGCCGTTAGACCCCCCGCAGCGCAGCCGTTAGTGCCCCCTCCCCTCAGCGCAGCCGTTGGGGCCGTTAGGGCGCAGCTGTTCGGGGCTCGCGTCGCTCCGCCGCTGAGGGGACGGGCGGGAAGGGCCCTCCTCGCCGAGGCACCGGGCGCGCTCAGCCTCGTCTCCCCGCCTCGCGCCCGTCTCCAGGCGCTCCTGCCGCCGCTTCCACTTTCACAAGCACTTTACGAACCGTACGAGCCATTAGCATTGACGTCCTTTAATCTCCCCTTTCCCGCTGCCATTTGACTCCAAGACAACTCCTCTGTAGGGCTTTCCGTTTTATTTGACTGCACTGAGGCAGTGCGCTAGGGAAGCATTAAGCGCACTGTTAAGCTAAATTCATTAGAGCACACACAGGGAGATTATTCCATAAACAGAGGCATTTTCCCCATCAAGAGATAGTTCCCGCGCAGCACGGAGAGCAGGTCTCACCCCTGGCCATGTACTATAAGCTCTGAATTATTACAAAACTGGCCAATCAAAATTTGTATGCATGCTAATTAAAACTGATATTCTAGAAATGAAATTAGGTCACATCATACTGCCCTTTTTTTAATAATACATCTTACCTTGACAGCATAAAGCTCCGAGGACCCAAGCTCTTCTTCTAATACAGTGTTCTGCATCTCTCAGAAAGGGTAGTATAATTGTCAAAAGTCTCTCATTTTGAGATTTGAACTTTATAAATACCTTTTAGCAACCAAAAATCAGCCAAGTACTACAAGTCAGCCCTACTGCCAGCTTAAGCTGTATTTGCTTATTTTGAACAAATACAAATCATTTACAGAGACCTATCATTCCAAAATCTGCAATTAAGTGGGCTTTTACATTTTAATTGTAAAAATCAGATTTCTTTTTAACGTGCAATATAAATTTCAGAACAGTCTCATCCACGAACATAAATGCAGTAAAATACTACAACTTGATATGGGTAAATACAATTTCTGGCTTTGATGACATTTAAGATAAATCAGAACTGCAATGCTTCAGTTTTTAGGTAAGATCAAAGACCAGTAATTTCTCACAACATCATACTAAAAATATGTTGTTTACATACAAATAGTTTAGAAAAACAAAGACTGTACCCCTCATTGTCTCTATACAACAATGAAAAATGACTTCAGGCAACAATAATTTTCAGATTTTTCCAAATATATATGTAGAAAGTATAACAGGGGCAAGCATTATCATCATAAAGTTTAGTGATATAGTTACAGTATGTCAARACAACCACTTTTTGTTACATGTCAAAAGTCAATAAACAGAAACTTTACAGGTTTCTCGGATTCCTTTCTCCACTTCCATATTCAGACTTCATTTTCAAACTGTGTTGACTAAACCACAATATAGCTCACACTGATATTTGCTATGTAACAGACAGGAATCAACATCCATCATTTGGATTGAAGCTTTTTATATAAAAAAAAACAAAACCAAAAACCAAAAAATTAGTCTACTAGAATAGTTCTTAATTCTTATTGTGTAATTGCTTTCAGTATTCCTCGGAGAACTTTGTAACTCATTAATTGTTGGCTTTCTTTTGGAGGAAAGCAGGGTCCGCGCTCTGTCACGTATGCGTAAGGAAATCTAAGCACCCACAGTCCGTCAGATGGAAGGGTGATCTCCTGCTTCTCAGGGTAAAATACAGGACAAGGTGGTGGCCCTGGCTGAACCTGAAAACAAAATGGAGATGTGAGCAGATAAACACCAGTAGAATAAAAATCTAACCCCAAGGAAGTCTAGTAATTCTTGGCTACAGTCAAGGTCCCCACATTCACACAGTACTAAAGATTCTGGCAGCAATCTCGGTATTGTAGCACGGAGAGCCCTGAACTGTTGACCTACTCCAAAAACATTGGTGTTAATCTCAGGTTTTGGTCAGTACTGTTCTTCAACCTTGAAAATAAAACAAGTGGTATCTGCGTAGCTGAAGGTGTCCCATAAAAGAGGCCAATTCCATCCTTTTGTGATTCTATGACAAGGATCTTGTGGCAATTTTCAAAAGCTAGAGAGCTTACAAAATGTTCTAAATCTGCTTCCCTTCCCACCATTATATGGAATACAGCTTGTTCTGACTCTCATTCGGTAACACTATTTGTGCAGTGAACATTATACAGGTTTTGCCCTCYTCTAATAAATAATAAGTAAACACATGTATACTTGTTCTTATTTCACTCTTTCAAAAACTGTTTGGGTAACTGTTGCTCTTTCCTCTATTTCTTTTAGAACACCGTTGGAAACAGAAAAAAAACTCTTCAATTAAAGAAATTTTTTTACCTCCTAAATTCAAAGGGTAGCTAATAATAATTCACCTCAGCGCTGAGTCACTGCTTTTTTCTATAACATTTAAAACATTAAATTAATTCTTACATAGTCATTACTCACTGGTGAACTTACAAAAATAATTGCAGCACATTTTCTGTAGCAGTTATCTTAAGAGTTTCAATCCAATGGAATGCTCTTAAGTCACCTTTGATAAAATATTTCTAAAACTTACTTTCTAAAATGTATAAAGCAGGCCTAAGCCAACCTTGACATTAAAAAACAGCTGTTTAGAAGACAGTTATAGCAGCAGGGCAGACTGTTCCAGCTATCAAACCATTTCAAACCTGAACTGAGAACTGAAGAAACAGGAGAAATTTGTTGCCAAGGTCACTGGCCTGTCCACCAAAAATGTTAAGCGGCAAAACCAGCTTGTTATGACCCATCTGTGAAGCAGCGAACTCAACCTTCCAATCTCTTTTACCTAAACAACCAACAGCCCAACATTTTAATTGCTGCTTTTGTCCACTACTGCCTTAAGAGAACTCAACTAAAATTCTGTTTCGTGTTGGAATAAATTTCTTGTGACTCTCACGGAGGTGCCTCCCYGTCCTGCAAAGAACGTTGTAACTCTCTACTCTTTCCCTGCAATTACCAGGTCCCCTTTTCCATTTCTTACCTGAGGTGTTAATGTGATTTGCAGCGGAGCATCAGGAACCACCACAAAGAGTCTCATAAATTGAGCATAATGTGGCTTGAGCCCTCGTCCCTGAGTCGACGACAGGATGTACAGTGGCATGTCAGAATTGAGGGCCTTGAGAGCAGATTCCTTTGGCCCCCCTCCCATCACCTTCATGACCTTATCAGGCCCCGAGCACATGAAYCGCCTCCCACGTGCATCTTCATACTCAAACCCTACAAAAGCTCGAGCTATGTCATCTCTCCGCCTTCCTCTCCCCATCACAACTGCACTTCTCTTCCCAGGAACAGCTTTGTTAGGCGCAGGCCAGGAATTGGTGTCCAAGTCTCCCTCATCTTCAGTTCTCGTTCTGATGACGATATCCCAGGGCATTAAATAGTTCGTTCCTGGGATAAAGCCTTGTTGGTCTAAGCCGGTGTGGAAGTTGTAAGCCTTAGCAGGGCCCAGCTTGACCAACGCCCAACTGGAGAATTTGGGCAAAAGGCCTTTGGGGCAACTGGAATGGAGCATTCCTGGGAGGTACTCGACAGTGGAGGCCTGGCGATCGACCAGGCTYGGCCTCTTCTCGCTTCTGGAGTCCCCGCTCTGCCCGTGGCTCTCTGCRTTGTCACCTCCACCCTGGGGGTCAGGTGGGTAAGTGCCCAAGCTGCCCGTGGACTGGCCCAGGCTGAGGGCTAAGCTCAGGCCTGTGCTTTCTCCCTGAGTCTGAGGCTCCTTTTCTTTCAGTTTCTCAATCTCTCCTTCCGGAGGGGCAGGTGATGCCTCATCCCTAGCGGGTGCTGGGTCAGGGGTGCTGGGCTGAAACACAGGGAAGTTGATGTGCTCCAGTTTCCCACAGCACTTTTCTTCCAGCACCTACGAAAAAGAACATGTGATTAATTTGATTAATTTTACATTTCCATCTCAGTGATGAGGGCATTCACGGTCACAACACTTAGTGGATATAATTTAGGATAGTGAAGAGACTGGGGGAAAAAAAAAAAAAGATGATTCAAGAGTTTTGCACAACTTGAGAATAAATGCAGGTGGAAGTATAGCCCATGCATACCATGGATTGAAAATTTCCATGGATCAACATACTTGCAACATAAAGATGCTCCTGTCTGCATAGAGCRATGGGGACAGAAACTGCCCCTTCTGTTCACCCAATTAAGCACAACTTCTGCTCTCAGAAATCCTTCCTCCCAGACAATATTTGCATATTGATAGGTTTAAAAGGAAAGTTTTACAGTCCTTGCTGGTAAAGTTAAAGTGCTGCTTGAAGAAGAGACTAAACAGTTACCTGGTAGAAGTCATAATTAGCTGCTTTGATATCAAAGGGGTCATCGCGAGGCGCCTGTTTCCTTCCACAGTTACAGGCCCCAGTGGAGCGAGCCCGGCTGTTGTGATACAGAACTGGAGGGTTTCTGTCTGCTTCTGGCTTCTCCCCTGAAAGCAAAACCAGTCAAATCCAAGAGAACTAACTCACATTCCTAGAGTGTTTCCCTTCATCTGCTGTCTTCTCCTTGCTATAAGTGTATGCACAGTTATTTGCCTGCGATGCCAGATAATTGGGAATTCCTTCCCCCTTCTCACACTCATTGCTAATAAGAAGTTGCTAACAGTGAACTTGTATCCAAACATTACTCAGCTAGAGAAGAAGTGTTTTCAGTTCGTCTTAAGATCACACTTAGGGGACTCAACAGCACAAGAACATGAGAATAATTATTGAACACTGCACTTTTACAACACTGATAACAAAACACAGCTATTCATCACTCTTTATGGTTTCTTTTACATTCTAAGTCCTGTGCAATGCAAACATATCACATCCACTCCCACACTATGAACTGACCATGAAAACCAAGCTATTTCCAAATTATAATGGTCACCCATGCTTGGGATTAGGCATCTCAGCAATATAAAAGAAGTCTGAACAACAGCTCTATTGTAATTAAAGCTTTATTTTCTTAGAGTGAGGTTAAAGCTGTCCATCCTTCACCTTCTGTAAATGTGCAAGCGGCTCTGTGTTCAGCTTAAGACATTTTCAAGTGCAAACAAAAATAAAACACGAGGAGCAACCGCAAATGAGTTTCTTTACCTGCTTTAGGGAGCAAATGGAACTTGTGCACGCAGTGCTGGTCGGTTAAGCTCCGCTCCTCGCAAAGCTGGTGCCCGTTGCTCCAGAACTTGTAGCAGTCCTCGTTGAGCTGCATGGCGTATTTGTGGAAGGCCGGGCCCCGCGCGTGCTGGCTGTACACGCGCAGCGCCTGCGCCAGCTGGTTCTTGTGGACTGTCATGGTGTAATTATGGGGCAGATTGGACTGGTAGGCACTGTGGGCCATGGGGAGAGCTTTCTGGCAACGGTTTTCAGAGAATTTAGTGTCTATATCTAAATACCCTTCCAAGACTTTGATGCTGCCCATGATTTTGGAACTCAGCTCCCCAGTGAGAGAATTTGGGTCATCGTCTTTGCCTTCAATGGTCACTTCATACAGCTTTAATGCTGCAGCAACCCACTTCTGGTAGGTGGGGAGCTCAAAGTGAGACGGCTGCGGGTTCCTCCCCACGCTGTCATCGAAGCCCTTCTTGCTGAGCACCAGCTCCACATGCTGCCACAGGAACTCCTTGAGGGTGCAGTCCACAAGCTGCCCCGAGGAGCTGGAGCTGCTGCTGCTGCTCTCTGCGTAGAAGGACAACTGCTGCCGGCCATGCCGCATCATCTGGTACCTCCTGGGTCCGGACAGGGTGGGAGCCAGGAGCGAGTCGGTCTCTCTCATGGTGCAGTTGCTCCTGAGCTGGTCGAGGAGCATGGCCACTGGATCGTCTCCGTCCTGGGCCCCGCCGGCCACGATGTAGACAAAGGCCTGGTTGGCAGGCACGGTGAACAGGCAGTTGATGCTCTGGTTGGTGAGCACCCTACTCTTTCTGAAGATGCGGTAGATCTGATCCTCCAGCGCGTGCTGCAGCCTCCTCTTGGGGGAGTGCTTCTTGGGGGGCGGCTTTTCCAGGTGGCCACAGGGATCCTGGCCCCTGCCTGGGGGGGGATCCACCTTCAGGGTCCCATTGAGCTGGAAGAGGAAGAGGAGGCGCGGAGGGCAGGGCCTGCAGTTGAGCTTCCATTCCTTGCCCACTGGGCAGTCCTTGATGGCGGCCTTCAGGGACGGCAGCACCTTCTGCCGCAGCCCATCCAGCGCCCGGAAGACGCGGTCGTAGGTGATGTCGAAGGAGCACGTGGGATGCACCAGCAGCAGGATGTGGCACACAGAGAAGAGGTAGAGCAGGCTGAGGCAGTGCAGCTTCTCCTGGTGCTTCCAGAACTCGTGTGCCTCGGCGTGCGGCAGCGGCGCGGGAGCGCCGGGCGGGTGGCCGGGCGTGGGCTCGCGCGTCTCGGCTGCCGCCAGGTCCCTGCAGGCCCGCAGCAGCTGCGGCGTGTCGCAGATGGACGTGAGCACCAGGTAGAGCACGCGGTTCTCCTGGCTGTAATAGGCCTGCAGCTGGTTGTAGTCCTTGGTGGCCGGCTCGGCCTCCTGCCCGCCGGCCGCCTCATCCTCGCTCTCGAAGAGCGGGAAGACCTGCCGGTCGCACACRGTGCTCACCAGGGCCGCCTTCTCGGAGCAGAGCTGCAGCGCCGTCTTCCCGAAGATGCCCACCACGCACACCTCCTCCTCGCCCGGCCCCGCCGCTCCCGC